GCTCAATGGATCGCTGAGGTGCGCAAACCGTCACACCACGGTAAGGTCCAGTCTCTTTCTTAAGGCAAATAAAACCTCAAACCGAATTCCACTACTCTGTGTCACAAAGCTTGGCAAAGTCAAATTGTACACCGCTATCGGACCGTGGTGGTGTTGAAAACTCAAGACAATAACAAATGACATGGTGGCTACATTATATAGGATTCGTCGTCACGGGATAAAGACATTTCTCAAACGTACAAAACAACTTCATCAGAATTCCTTCTACTTTGCACGGTATCCCTGAACTATGCAAGAAGAGAGTTTTCACCGAACTTTCCAGAAAAAACGGATTCACATAGACGGGGAGAGCTACCATTTACAGGAATTACCTCTTTGCTAATCTGTTTAAATAAAAGTCAGAAATGACATATACAAACAATATAAGTAGTCAGAATTTCGAAAATTCTGCTATCGCAAATCCTACTAAACAGCCAGTTTCAGTGCATCCCAAGGTGCGAATAATCAAATGTTGCTCATCTAGAAACAGAATGACAATCATTTTGTCCAGCCAGAAAAACATGGGTTAAAAAATGGTTCATTTGTAGCACCCTTTCGGTGCCTAGCTGCCATGCCATCATAGGGTTGCACTGGGGCTGGTGTACTGCCAGGTTGCCCAGGCCTAAACAGGGGAAGTTGTGAGACAGAGATCCGGTTGAAACCACGGACCTTCCTGTCAGTAAATTTGAGCTCTAACCAGTTAGACCATCTTGGACATGGGATCCTCAGGAATTGACGTCAGGTTCGTTAACACTCGCTGCTTTGTAACGATGATCGACAGTTTCATAACTAACAACTTCTCTGTTCTAGTTCGCGCTACGCACACATCAATGCATCCGCAACTGAGCAAGCTTTAAGTGTTGCATTAGAGCGAACAGCGTTGCTAGCGTAATTTGATCGTTTCTTGAGTGTTGTAGTTTTGGTTGTAAAGATTCCTAAATAAAAATATCGGTTCGTACACAAAGCCTTGTCGTAATTTTTCGTAGATATTCAATAATCAGAAAACCGTATTGCTCCGTGGAATCACACAGATATCGCACACAAAATAGTTCGGACTCAGAAGTAATCTCCAGTATTGAATGCAGATAGGTTATAATGCCGATGTTTCGCAACAGATATTTCACTTACACTTCCAGAAAACGTACCCTAAACATACTTTGGTTTAGCAGCGGAATAAATCTTTTCAGATAAAGTTTACCTTGAACTGAATTCTCGGTGTCAGTTGATGTCTTCAACCAGTAAATCACATCTACTCACTCGGTAGTACAGTTGCACTTAGCTCACTTTAGCTTTTCTGTAGGCTGATACAGCAAGTGCTGCAAATGAGATTACTTTGGTTGGGACATGTACTACATACGTCCACCATCCGTCTACTGAGAGAGCGATTATTTCCCATTCGAAACCCTTGCTCAGAGGGGGTTTCTCTCATAGCTGGGGCATATGCGGGACATCTTGCAAGTGGTTTCGACTCCTACTGGTCACTGCATGTGTTAAACAAAGTTTGTAACGGATCGTAGGTTCATTCGGCCGACTACCTATGTTTCTGAGGCGAAGTTTGTAGTGCTTACTTTGATAATGTCTTGAGGCTGAGACTTTCAACAATTTCATCCTGTCCGTTTCATTTCGCTCTTTACTGGGGTGTTCCACGGTGTCGTATATCAAGGCCATTAAGTCGTTTACGAATACTGCACGATGGAAATACGTACCAGTAGTTTTTTGAGTTAATTAGTAAGAAAGGTAGCATTGCGAGGGAAAGCTTAAGTGGGATGTTGTCCTTTGCAATAATGGGTGTGTTCAAACTATCTAGTAATATCAACGTTCCAGGTCTATATTTGAATTCCACTTTGAACTCGTTCAGCTTGAGTAACCATGTTTGGAGCTGCTAAGAGGTCTTTGGCTCCTTGGCTCATGTCTCAAACTAGCATTGTTTGATACTCCCCTCCGGCCGTTGAAACATACGACCTTTGCCCTACGGATAATAAATTTCATAGACGTTTTCTGGAGAAGAATCTACAGTTTCGAAAATCAGGGACTAGCATTTTGTGAAATAGGATATTCTGTAGAAAGCTGGTGGTTCCTGCTCATTGTGGACTCTCCTGTGGTACGTTCTTTTTCAAGGGGTTGTTCATTGAAATGGAGTACTTTACACTACTGTTTTAAGGCAGAAGTTTTAAAAGTTGTCGATATAGTCGTTAAAGAGTCAAGGCTAGCGGAGAGTCAGTTGTAACAGTTGCGAACATACGACAAAGTTAAAAGTCGCTGGGTGCGTTGGCCAGTTGTATTACACGGCCACTTTGCTTTCACACCGAAGGATAGTTCAGCACCATAACGAGCTGCCGAAGGAGACGTTCGAGCTTCCCTGCAGTGGAAACTAGCAAGTCAAACCAGGTAAAAATGGACTGTAGATAATGCGCGCACATATTTATGCTGAGTCATTTTCGTAAACCACGATGCATGCAGGACTTGAATAATACGTAAAACAAAATAGTTTTAAAGACCTAGTGGTAATCAACTAAAAGCCCACCTTTAACGCCTGAAGTTTCGGAAAAAAATACAACGTCTTTATCAGCCGTTGATTACATTAAAACAATGTGTTTAGTAACCATCAACCACGTAACCTTAAACCGGGTTCATTTTTTTCCCACCACTATAATCCATATCGTTGGCTGCACTCAGCTGAACTTTTCAAAGTTAAATTGGCCGATTTCGGACAAGCCGCCCCATTTCATCCTCACACTCTGCGTTTCTGGGTTCGCTTCGTGTTTAGTCCTTATGTATTCTACCCACCTGCAAATACGTTGAAATTACATGGGTGGAATGACCCGCAGTTTACCTCAAGGAAATACCATACTAAACGATCTCGTGTTACAATGAAGAAACTTTGACTCGGTCTCTTCAAAGGACAAGCAATAGTTAAAAATAGACACCTACGAAACCTGACAGTCGAATAGAGATTATTGATTAAGTTCAATCAAAGAAAGTTTCAGGTCCAGAAAACTTTCATTCATGGTGTGCTTCTGCCCTGGACGTGACCTTTTCTAATCACTGTATAGAAATATCTGGCCATTTTCAATTCACACTGTTTTAATTAACCACAATCACATAGTTGACATGTTTACTAAAGAACACTTATGTCTACTTATCGCTCATCAAAACTGACCCAAGTCAGTGCTGTTGGTCTGCCGAATATGATCTTCGGGTTGCATATCAATGCCACAAATCTCGATGTGCTGTAAAAGACTGAAAGCTTCTGCACTGGAAACGGATTCTTGGTCATCACCAGCTAACTATCCTCAGATTCATGCAAGCTCAAAAACAATAAGTAAACCTGCTTCAGGAAATCGCTACTACGACCATATATGAATGCGCACAAGCATACAAATGCAGTCCATCTGCAAACGTACAGCAACCGATAATTTGTCTAGTTCAAGACGCTTACTTCGTAAATCATATAGTTTGGTTCGCACACCGGGAAGCGTAACCAACGATAAATGAAATGTCGAAGATAGCAGCAGAACTAAGTTTGCTTAGTACTCTTTCGCAGCCCACCATCGGTTTTGCGGTACTTAGGCTCATCAAATAGATGGAGTCTTCTAGGTCCCGCCAAGCTTATGTACCAATGTGGTGGACTGCTTCCCTGTGTATATCAGGTATGCTGTTTCGAAACTATGGGCAATAAGCTTAACCTTTTCATCGACAGCATCGATCGTGATACTAACCACTAAGTGTCTCTGTTCCAGTTAAGACAAAGTCAGAAGTGCCGAGATTCACTGAGCTGTTTTTGACTAGTTGGTATTCTTCGCCTTTCTCCCATATGAAAAATAAAAGGAAACCGCGTATAAATGGATCATATTAGAAGGCTGTTCACGCTGTATGACAGCATATTGGACGCGAATAAAACCGTATGAAACACTCGATGTAATTACGCGTTTACTGGTAATATACATTATTCGGTGGTATGGGTGAACTTCGCAAAAGCACCGTTCAGGCGATCTTGTATGAATGAATATTGAGCGATAATTGCCATTCTAACCGAATTCACTGAACATATCAATAGGATGGGGTGACAGCATGCAAGCAGACCCACACAGCATGCATAGTATCGTACTGCTTGGCTATGCAAACTGAAATCAACAATTCCAAAAGCTGATAGTAGTGTAAGGATAAACGATATGAGTTCGACCGTCGTCACTGATGCCGTGTAGCCAAAGGTGCTTATGGACATTGCTGTAGTGGCAAGTTTCAATTTGTTCTGTTCAGCCATTTCACAAGATTGTGCGGGGCACTGCTGTCTCGAAGCACATGTTGGTGGATTATTCATGGAACTAGCGTCGTCCACATTCACATGCTGAACTGCAGATCGTCCGAATAACGGACGCATTCTATAAAGCCTAACTGTTGCGCTGATATGAAAAGTCAGAATCAGTGAGACTGGTATAGCAAAGTGCCCCATTATTTGTAGAAAGAGGCAAATAGCCGTTTTTCTGCGTTCAGTACACACGCCAGGTATAGAAAAGTGGACATTCGCTTGGCTTACCAAGGTGGCCATGAAGGTGTATAAGATGATGAACCCATAGCATCCAATCGTATAGGAGACAATACGGCGTTTGTAGGTCTGCATATAAACGACGGCCAAAAATCTGTCTGTTGTGAGGCACACTACGTTGGACACTGATAACAGCCGAAGAAATGAGAACAGATACCGGTTGCTAATGAAGCGACAGACAAGTTGTGGCATTGCCACAGCCTCGTACGTCTTTGGGAACAGATCATAGGCTGCGTAGATGCAAACCAAACTATCAAACACGGACTGAGAGCAAAGTAAACACTTTGTGAGTGTAGAACCAAAGGTAATGAATGTGACTTCGATGAAAACGATCAGGTTGAGTGAGCCACCGACGATTAATGGACATGCCATGAATAGATACAAGATTTCAGGCTTGGTAGCAGTGGTTAATAAGTTTTCTTTGTCGCCCAAGTTATCTGTATTATCCATAGCTTGATTTGGTGGACAATGGAGGGCCGGATGCAACTTTATGTGTGTATCTGCTAGAGTCCACATCAACATTCATTGCTTTTATACGAGCTCCGAGAGATGTCGCAGATAGCACCACTAGTACAGACAACTGATCTGCACATGATAAAAGTTTACAGTTTCTAACTGACACGACAATTTTATCAGCAGTCATCAAGTAATGCGTCAGTTATTCCATAAAAAAATCCACACGTGCATGATGCCAGACAGATTGTCTACTAACACGGACGGTGGGTAGCTTCGAACTTTCAATCATTTGAAAAAAGCGACCGTTTAGTAGAAGAATGCCAGAAAAATGGAAACAGCAAGAACAGAGGTCATATGATTAAAAATTTAATGGCGATAATTGTTGTGCTAAAAGTGACATGAACGGTTTTTTGAGGCCTCAGCTGATGTGATTCAAGAATGATTTTAATAGGAAAATTTGGAAATCAGAGATGGTGAAAAACATTTCCTATTCTCACAAAGTATGAGCTTCGAATCTGGTCCATTATGCAGAGGAATCCTCTAGGTTTAAGTCATCTAGAGGAAGGAAAAACGCACTGGAACAAGGCAGTAGACAGAAGAGCCTCGTAAATGCTCGTCTACTGGGTTTCTCCTAAACAGGTCAAATCGTCTTGTCACAACACACCTATTTTGTAAGGCTATCACCTATTCTGCTGATATACTTCTGAGACGTCACTGAACAAAGACCTGAAGCT